CGAAGCTTGTTGTCAAGTCACCAATCGATCCCTATCCACCACAATGACTCTAAGCCTACATCACCTTACCGTACCATTCAAAATTCTTCACCATGCCATTGCTCATATTATAGTCCCTCGGAATGGACACTTTGAAGAGTTTCACCACCTCAACTTGTTCATTCTTGACTCTTTTTTTGTTGGTCGTCAATTGGACTTTCCCTACCTATTTTTGAAGCACATTAAACATATCTATGATTCTCCTAGAGCCGTAGGCTTACCTTATGGCATGCTTCTTACAAAAATCTTTCAACATTTCAATATGCCAAACAAATGAAAATTGTTAAAGGCAATCGGCAATGGGTGTGTAATACTCAAGGTTTCGATAATAACTCGGGACCTACAACTTGGCCTTTTACTTCGGGAGAGGTTGCAGAAGACATGGGTGGTGTTGGTAATATTGTTGGTGATGATAATATTAGGGGTCATGGTGATGATAGCAATGGTTGTGATAATTCCTCTCAAGCACGACATGGAGCTCCTACTCTACAAATAGCACCAACCTCCGACCAATATATTTCCGAAGATCAATTCCACAACCTAGAAGGCTGGATTGACTTTCTTTCCACTAACGTCAATATGCTTGATCAACGAATGGAACAAATGATTTTTTCGATTAATCTTCAAATGGAGCAAATGAATTTCTTACTTAATCAACAAATGGAGCAAATGAGGTTATCTCAAGAGGCTTTCTTTACACATATGTATTCCATTGATCCTCGAGGGCCTCCTCGACCGGCGGAAGATTAAAACTTTATCTCTAATTCTCTACCTTTTAGTTAACTCATATTTTTATGTCGTGACCTATAATTAACTTCGCTTGTTTTGTACATATGCCTTGTCTAAAAGGGAATTTATCATTGTTCCCATACTTTTTGATGATGACAAAAGGGGAAAAAAGGAATGATTATGTGATTATATTGAAACGTGATATTTGATTATGAATTATGATTTGTAAGGTCAATACATTATAATGACTTCTAAATATGATTTAGAATATCATTGAATTGTGAAAATGAATGCTTTTAGAATATCATGATATATATGATACAAACTTTATTCTCATTTATGTGTAAAAGATAGGGGGAACATCTTGTATATATCTATAAATCACATATTGTTTGTCATAATCAACAAGGGGAAAATTGTTGACCTATGATTTAATATAGCTCCAATTGTTTTGATTATAACAAATAATACACTTTTGTTTCTAACAATTTTTGTTTCTTGAGTTTTTTTTATAAGCATTCAAAGATTCAAATCGTCATTCGTTGAAAAACAAACAATCAAATGAGACTCGAAGAGATCAAGAACATTGAAGATAGAGTTATTTATCGAACCTCGTTTATATATGTAAAGGTATAACTCGTCAATGTTTAGCAAGTACATAAGCTCAAATATTTCTCATAAATTCATTATCAAAAATCTTGAAAAAATCATTTTCAAATGTCCCTCAAAAGATCACACTTCAACTTTCCATCAAAAAGTTATACTTCGGTTTTCAATCTCATATTGGACAGATATTTGACACTGAAGATGATCTAATTTGAAGATAATTTTTGAAGCAAAGTTATAGCCCTTTGAGTTAGCTTTCCAACCCGTTTTGAATCACCTTAATCGGATATCGGGAGAGAAAGATATAATCAAAATACTGAAAGCTGTCCGGTTTGGATACTTCGGTCGACCGAAAGTAACGGTATGATTTCCAACGGGTGGATTTTCAAAATTGACACTTTCGGTCGACCGAAAGGTACTGTTCACTCGACCGAAAGTTCCTGCAACCTTCCTTTCTTTCTCTATAAATATCCATCTCTTCTCCATTCATTTTCAACAACTTAGAAGAGATTTTTGAGACCTTTTTTATTGAGAAATCATTGATATTATTTGAGTTTAAATTCTATTTCATTTATTACAAAGAATTTCTTGATTGTTCCAACCTATTTTATTCATTTTATCAAGAAATCTTTTTAGCAAGGAACTCTTCACAAACTTCATCTATTCTTCATTCTTGATAAAAGTTTTCTTTACCAACACTTTGATTTAAAGTGTAAATCTCTCTTCATACTTAACTTGTATTATTTGTTAAGAGAGATCATTGGTTTGAAAACTTTGATACAAAGAATTTCTTGATTGATCAAAACTAGTTTCATCTATTTCATCAAGAATTCTTTTTGCAAA